TTATGTAAACTTTCAGCACGCGGCTGCAGGTAGACAACGTCTCGTATATATCGCTCGAGCCATAAAATGCCGAAACCATAAGCCTACTGCACCTCTATCTCTATTTGTGGGAGGTAGAAAGTGTTTACTTCCTGTCGTCAAACGCTCCAAGCACATGCATACAAGAGGACCACAATCCCCTCTGGCTCCCTCCGTTTGTTGTGGCGCGGTATCATCTCTGATCATTGTAACTTTGAACTTTTTTGGCTTCTTGTTACCAGAATTAGTCCAATAATCAATCGCGTCCAAGTATTTCGCCAAATGAGCGCTCCATCACCTTACAAATAATATCTCTCAAATCAGACAATGGTATGTAATTCAACATGCTGTCATATACCATTGTCTTCAAGGATGGGAGCTGAAGCTCGACGAGAAGCCAATGATGACGTTCCAAAACAGGGATAAACACCTGCAATCATAAATAATTACGCACATCAAATAAAATTTATGAAAGCCTTTAAAATATTCAAAAAAATAAATACTAACCTTATCAACCTCCCACCACGCAGGATAAAGTTTAGCTTTTTAATTACCCAACGTATATGAAGCATCTCTCGGATCCTTTAAGTGAGCTACGTGAAAAGACGTCGGCATAATAGTCCATCGAGTACTTCTTATTTTCCTCAATTTTACTTATTATTAGAAGACGTGACACCCATGCATCAATATGTTGTTTTATAAAAAAAATACATATATTAGTGAATTTATTAATAATTTAAAAAAATTTAATCAAAACGCAATATAAGAAGAATATAAGACTCACCACCTCTTCGAGATAGCCATTATCTTCAAACCCTAATAAAATACCCCACCAAGACCGATCAAGAAACAAATGAATAACATCGTCGAGTTGGCATAGGTCAGAATAACACCCCTTGCTCCGCTCATGTAGATAAAAATCAGCTGCGGTCTTAGCCCAAAGGGTATTATCCGTAATTATGTCTGGTAGTGTTTCCCTCTCCTGCTAATGAATGGTACTGGCCGGTAACACATACGAAAGCCAACTCGTATCCATCATATCGGGCACGGGAGGGGGTTTATCAATATGTTGACATATGATGCCATATGAATCGGACTCTTGAATGGCGGGCGGGACCTCTTGAACGATGACAGGGGCCTCTTGAACAGTGGGAGGGACTTTTTCGATTATGAGAGGGGCCTCTTGAACTATAGGAGGCGCCTCTTGAATGATGATAGGTGCATCGGGCTTCTTCTTACGGAGTCTTGGCACTAGTGGGGTGAACGGAGACGTAATGGCACGTGCACGACGTCTGATGCGTGAACCCCGTCGTGCAAGAAAAACCCAACATAAAGCATCTACCTTATCGGCCGCTTAAAATAAATTAATACATAAATCAGTAAATAAATATCGTGGAGGTGGAGAACAGGGAGATAAATATCATAGCCTCTTTGCCGGTCGTCTATCATGAGGTGATGATGGAGAAGAGGCTCGATGATGTGATGGAATAGGTGATGGTGGAGGTGGAGAAGAGGCTCAATCAGGTGATGGCTCCAGGTGTCGAGCTGTAGAATCGGCCCGATCAGGTGATGGCTCTCGAAGTGGGGGGTGCTCATCATCCGTCTCATCAAAAAACCCGCTTACTAGCTTGCCACCAATCAGTGGCAAGCTCAGCCTCTGTGGGTGTCAGCCTCTGTGGGTGTCAACCTTTGTAATGGATAGTTGGCCTCCTAACAATATAAAAGCTCAAACAAAGTTAAACTTGTACTAGTAATAACTTGTTTATATATTGTATTATTTGTGTGTTAACTTACATCATTCATCGTCGTATATGGGAGTAACTCTTCCCAATCCAACATGCAGATCCTCTTCCAGGTAATAGCCCTAGGAATATCATTTGATCTTTTTATCGCATATGTCTGCATGCTGGGGAAAGCCTCAAATATCCAAATCTACAAAACAATATAATACACAAACATTAGTAATTGTTAAATAATTAATTATAATTTTGGAAACATTATTTAGAAATTCTTACCTTAAAGGCCCAAGTAAAGAATGTCAAAGTGTATTTAGAACCATCGCCCCGTAAACTTTTTCGGTCCTCAAAGGCAGATGACAACTTCTTCCAGATAGCTTTCCATAGATGTGAACCCCACGGAAACAGGTTCCATGCATTTAGGTCCTCTACCAATAATATTAGGTCCTCAGAGATAGGTTGTCTGTCCTCTTTGCCTAAAAAGTCGGTATGCAAAAGTAATAAATGGCATACTTGGACAACATCAAGGTCATCCATCCGAGTAAAACCATCTTTAACAAATAATCTCTTCAAGTCGTCGACGTGTAAACTCGGCTTTGACTTTGCCAGCTCAGGAAAACCCCAAGATAACCATGATGGGCGAGAGATATGACTAGTGTACCGGGTTACTTCATCGTGTCCGAAGCGTAGACCAGTGATTAAGCAAAACTCCTCCCGCCCAAAACAAGTATACGCCGGTGCTAGAGGAAAATGAAATCATATCTCTTCATCACCACGTTGTATCCTCTCGGGTAGATCGTTAGTCATGGTCTGAAGAAACAAATGTGTCAACATAGCATCTCCACCCGTATGTTGTACTTTCAGCCATGGCCCGAAGCAAGTATCCTCAAACAATTTTCTTTGTAGAGGTGTAAGCGTCGACGCAATTTTAATGGCTAGGCTTAATTTATTCCTTAAGGTCAATGCAGCCGAAAAAAATTTCTACAAAAACAATAAACATACAAAGTTAGATATACCAAAAACTACAAACTATACACTATAAACAGACATGATATTAAACAGTGAAAACAAAGCCAAATATGTTTCAAACTAGCACGATATTCACATGCTGTCATTATTCCATCATAGTTCACAAAATGCATCAAATAACATTCCAGAAGTAAGCACTTATATAAACATTTAAAAGGATAACATATAGGTTTAGTGCAGGTTCAAGGACAACATAAAGAGTAGTAGTTTATTCTTGAAACTTAAATTAGCAACACTATGAAGTTAGTATTTGTATTTGTTTTGTCTTTTGTTGAAGTAATGCAATTCATTCAAGTTTCAATTTGCAGAATAAGAGTAGTTTCTGAAACTTAAATTCGCAACGCAAAAAATGAAAATCGCAACGCGGAAATGAAAATCGCAACGCGAAACTAAAATCGCGTTGCGATTTTCATTTTCGCATTGCGATTTTCATTTTCGTGTTGCGAATTTAAGTTTCAAAAACTATTCTTCTGCAAAATGAAACTTGAATGAATTGCATTTCTTCAACAAAAAGACAAAACAAAGACAAATACTAACTTCACAAGGTTAAAGACTAAACAGTTTAGCAGTATTGGCAACAACCGAATGAATTTACTAAGCAATCTCAGTGAAATGGTTAAAATATATATTGAAATTACCAGTAAATTTATCATCAATATAAGAAAAATCTAATAATAATACAAAAATTTCAAAATAAAAATAATAGATTAAAAAACTAACCCTCGGTGGTTGATTTTCCATTTCTGACGTGAATGGTTGTGAGGGTTGCTCTGAGAGATGGAGATAGACGGATTTCGTCGGAGATGGGGACGGATTTCGTCGAAGATGGGGACGGATGTCGCCGTAGAGAGTGAGAGATGGAGATGGGATTGAGTTGTGATTTAGGGTTTTAGGTTATGATTTGCGATAATACTATTTACATTTGTGTTGCGAAATTAATATTGTGTTTCGCGTTGCGAATTTGACTTTTGCGTTGCGAATTTGACTTCTATGTTGCGATTTACATATTCACGTTGCGAAATTGAAAACTAGGTTGCGAAATTGGAGTTCGCGTTGCGGATTTGTTGGTCATTTTGGCAAATCCAAAAAAATTGGTTAAAATCGTATATTATAAGGCATTTTCGGTCACTGAGGTTATTTTCACTATATTTTATCATTATTTTTTATATTTTTAATAATTATAGAATATATTTTAACAATATAAAAATAAAATTCCAATAATTTTATACAAAAAGATAAATTAATAATTTATACCAAGTCGATCTTTGTTGATTTTTTTCACCTTAAACTCGATTTCGTCCCATCCCGAAGTTATATACCGTATAACTCGTCTTGTCCCGTCGCTAACCTTGAAATTAAAAAAAAGTTCTTATAAAACCGATTGGATCAAAATCCATCAAATTCATATAGTTTGACAAACCCTAAAACCCAACCCAATTTCACTCCATTATTCAATCGAACAATCACCCAACTTCAATCGAAACCTTATGAAATAAATAATAAAGAATTCAGAAGGGAAAAAAGAACCTAAAAATGAAAAATTGAGCGAATAGAAGCAAATGGGGTAAAAGGATTCTAACCTAAAACCAAACCTCACAAAAAGGAATCCAAAGTTTTGGGTGGGTCACAACAAGACAGACATAAGGATTGTGGCCCAAATTTTCTAACAATGTTTACGGCTCTCCTTAAGCCACACTGGCGCAGGCCACACAAGGAGGTGAACGGCATATAACCCCTTCAGGGGAGGGGGTCCATAGATTCTTTAGGATTCTTGATTTTGATTCTTTTTACCTCTTATTAATTAATTAATTACTCTTTTTACCCCTTGACGTTTTATTTTAAAATAAAAATATTCTTTTATAGATAGAAATATTAATCAATAAAATATTAACGTCTCAAAATAAAAACTTTTTTACCCAAAAATAAAATATTATAGGTCAAAACGCTCAAAAAATAAAGACTAAAATAATTATTTAGTCAAATACTAGAGAATTTATTATATTAAAATAAAATGTTAAAAACTAAAATATTCAAAAAAAAATTAAAATAATTATTTAATTAAATATTAAAATCATATGTTATACTTAAAAGAATTAAATATTACATTAAACATAAATATCAAAATTATATATATATATATATATTACTTTTTAATTGATAAATATACTTATCATAGTATTTACTTTTGTAGCCAACAAGGTTTGGAATAAGTAGAAAAGGAAAGCCTCTCATTTTGCTCCCTTCCTATTTCACTTCTCAGCTCTCCTCCTTGAGCAAACTTATTTTTCCCCTTCACTGTTTCTATACTCTAAAAGAAATGGCGGAGGAGAAGAAAGCCTCTGGGGTTTGGCCAAAGGTTAAACCTTTTGTCAATGGTGGTGCCTCTGGCATGCTTGCTACCTGTGTCATCCAACCCATCGATATGATCAAGGTGTTTGTTTTCACTCATCTTTTAGTAGATGTGATCTTCAAGTGTTTTCCTTTCAAATTTGAACATAAAGATGTCACTTTTAAGACCAAGCATGGGTTTTAAGATCAGGGATTTGCATGGGGTTGTGTCCTTTTGGCTAATGACCTTTTTTTGTGTTGGTTCGGTGTAGGTGAGAATCCAACTGGGTCAGGGATCGGCAGGAACTGTCACCAAGAACATGCTTAAGGAGGAGGGCGTTCGTGCCTTTTACAAGGTTCTTTTCTGCAACTCCATTCAAGTTTTGATTTTTGGAACTTTGTCTAGCTTTTCAGACATTGGATCTGTTGTTGGCTTCTGATACCTGTGGTATAGATGCTGGATCTCCTACATTTTAACATCGTTTATACGGGATTATTTATTGATTCGAGTTCCCAAAATATTGGAATTTAGTGCTGTTTTGTGGATGAGACGTGCTTGTTGATTTTGGTGCTACTTCAAACTGCAATTTTGCTCATTTGTGGGATTGGAAAACCTGATATTCACATGATTGAGTCATTGGGTTTCCGAAATAGTGGAAAAAGAAGTGATTTCAATCATTGCTATTTGATCTGGATCTGTTCTAAGAAGAAGTGATTTCAATCAGAATTATGTTCTTTCAGTTTTCTTGAGTCTTTTGTCTCACCTGTAAATTTTTGACAGGGGCTGTCTGCTGGACTTCTCAGGCAAGCTACATACACAACTGCTCGACTGGGATCATTCAAGTGAGTGCCGTTGCAATCCTCTGTGTGACTTTGATTATACATTTCAAGATGCTTCCTTTTCTGTTATGATTATCAACAGTTTGATTCTGAAGTTCGAGCTTTGTTTTTTTATCTCATCAGCATATGCGTTTTCCACTGCATGTGTGGTGTGGTTTGCTTTTGAGACTAAGCTTGGATAAATCTATTCGGTTCCGATCCAGCTTTTGAATTATTTCCATTCATTGTATAGGATGTTGACAAACAAAGCAATTGAAGCCAATGATGGGAAGCCCTTACCACTATATCAGAAGGCTTTGTGTGGTCTCACTGCTGGTGCTATTGGAGCCTGTGTTGGCAGTCCAGCTGATTTGGCACTTATCCGAATGCAGGCTGATGCCACTTTGCCGGTTGCTCAGCGCCGGAATTACTCCAATGCATTCCATGCCCTTTATCGGATTGTTGCAGATGAAGGGGTTTTGGCACTCTGGAAAGGTGCAGGCCCTACTGTAGTCAGAGCCATGGCATTGAACATGGGAATGCTTGCCTCATACGACCAAAGTGTCGAGTTTTTCAAGGATAACCTTGGCTTAGGAGAAGCTGCTACTGTGGTTGGTAAGAGTCTTTCTTTCTTAGTAGCATGGATATTTTAACTACTATAAATCTTTCGTAATTCTATCATGCGTTCTAAATTTGTTGAATGAACAAAATGTATCTTATCCCAACTGATACTTTGTTGGTATAGTCAAGTAGCAGAATTGTTAGAAGTTATTACTTAGGAAATATTGCCTCTCCTTGCTTTTATTTATTCGTTAATTTGAGAGCCAATTTTTACTACCTCATTTATAACTCCTATTGGTTGGTTAAGCACTTTGGGCATATCTGCTCGTACCCTTTGTCCGGATAAACCAAGAAAGATGTACGGTCTAATGAGGCTAGCGCAGAATATTATATTCTGGTTCATGGTTTCCCTTGGTCATGTGTTTCATTTGAGGGCATGCTGCTTCTGATCTCGGAAGTGGCATTATCATTTGACTACATCTTTCTCCGGTTAGATTGTAGTGCTTTTCCCAATTGTTAAGGCCATCGGTTGGCATGCATCACTAATCCTAAAAACTTATTGTCTTTCTCCCCTTTCCCATATTGATTAATGTTCCTTTTCATGGTTGCAGGTGCAAGTACCATCTCAGGTTTCTTTGCTTCAGCGTGCAGTTTGCCTTTCGATTACGTGAAAACACAAATCCAGAAGATGCAACCCGATGCCTCGGGCAAGTATCCGTACACCGGCTCCTTGGACTGTGCTGTGAAGACCCTCAAGTCTGGGGGTCCATTCAAATTTTACACAGGATTCCCTGTATATTGTGTTAGAATTGCTCCTCACGTCATGGTATTTACTTTTACTATATTCTTCTCATATATGGTTTTCCCAAAGCCCAATCTTGAAGCTTTTAGTTTATATATGAGGATTGGATGCTTTCTCTTGTGCAGATGACTTGGATATTCCTCAACCAGATTCAGAAGGCCGAGAAAAAAATCGGCTTGTAGAAGTGTTGTCGCTTGTCGGAGATGGGTTGATTGCATCGAATAAAAGCGTTATTTTTTGGCTTGGTTCTTGCCAATCATACAAATTTTGAAGTGGATTTCAAATCAATGTTGTCTTATTTTGTTTGTAGGATGATTGAAACAGGAGCTTTAGGATTATCATTTCAAATCAATGGTGGCTCACAAGGAACTTTTGATTTGAAAAATAAATGTTCCGTAACATACCAAACCCAAACCCATCTCAGAGCATTGGATTTTTCATTTTTTTTCAATTGTGTCCTTGATATTTTTCTTATGATTATTTTAATTAATTTTTTAGCGATCAACAAAATTAATAAATCTATATACAGTTCTTTATCGGCAAAAGTGTTTGAATAATACAATGAAAAAAAAAATTCACATAGTGCAGTCGAATAATTATTTACTTAAATAGGGTGATTGTTACATTGACCTTCATAAATCTCTAGGAGCACACACGGCGGCCTATGGAGCATACGGCGGCCTATGGAACACTTGACGACCTATGGAGTTGCAACAGCGAGGGAAGAGAGAAGAGTTGTTATAACAGAGGAGAATTTGTCGTAAGGAGCTCTTAGCGACCTATGGAGTATTTGACGATCAATGAGGTCACTGTAATAAACACCCCAGTTCAAAAAATAATTTGGGTAGAGCTTTATATAGGGAATTTTTTTTCCAACACCCTACTTGGGTGAGGAAGTCGTTCTTTTTCACTTCGTTAAGATTAGTAAATCTATATATAGTTGCTTTATCACTCTACTAATTTTTATTTCATGGATAATTATTTTATAAATAATTTTTTTATATAAAATATTTTATTCATATATTCAGTGTAGTAAATGGTCTTGGTAGTAAAAGAGAATGTTGTTACCCTTCTAGATAATCCAAACTTGAATAGTTACATTTATATAGTGTATATTAGGAAGAGTCTATGATACACGTCGCGTACCGTCATTAAAGCGACGTACGGAAATGTACTACAAGTAAATTTGTTTTTATTATGTAAATATTAAAAGATATGAGGATTTATTTAAAATTAGTCATTAATTAAAATTTAATTTTGCTTTTAATCGAGTTATAATTTATTAATGATTTTTATTAAAAAATAATAATTAATTTGAGTGATTTAGAATTAGATTTTTTAAATTACTTAAGGGTTGATGAAACTCGCCGAAAAATGGTAAGTCTAAGTCTAAATGAAGAAATGTCTGAATACGCCGCCTCAATTCTCTCGGCAGACTCCTCATGTCTAATGAAACTCTCTATCAGCTTGCTCGGATCAAAGGCTGTAATACCAGTCCGGTCTAGTACCGTAGGGAACAACATTGTGGCAGTCTTATGTGTTGCCAGCACTAGTTCAGCAGAACAAGCAAGCATACATCTATGAAACCTCTCGTTAGTTAATAAAGAGGTCAAGTTAGCTGCATGTAATATTTGTGCCTCTGCAGTACACATGGCTTCCAAAACCCTATAGTATAACTTTAGCGCCTCTAGTCTTCGTTGTTCCATCCATATATTATCCATCAGGTTTACACTTTGAAGGCTTCCAGTTGCACCACATTCATGATTTCTAGGAAATATCGCCTCCAAGATTATATGCGCCATACATATTACATCACTGGTAACATCTTTATCACAAGATGATAAAGAACGCTGCAACTCAGCTGAAGGTTTTGAAGGAAGAGGACATATAACAGAACGAAGCCATTTCGCAGTTGTCATTGCAGTGCAGACTGGCGTAGCTTCCTATCTTCGCACTCGGTGGCCCAAGGACACCATTCGCATGAGATGCAGGAGGCCGTTGAGGAGTTTTATACAATTTAGACTTATCATTTTCCGGCGAGTTCCTGACTCCCACGATGATGCTATTAATGGCCACCCTCAGCCCTTAAATAATTTAAAAACCCTAATTCTAAAAAAATTAAGGGTAAATTCATGTTTGGTACCTAAACTATCACTTTTATTCCGTTTTAGTACTTCAACTTTCAATTTTTTAAAATCATACCTAAAATTTACTTTTTGTTTCATTTTAGTACTCGCCGTTAAAAATTTAGTACTAAAATGAAACAAAAAGTTAACAATGGAGTACTAAAATGAAATAAAAAAGTAAACGCTGGGTACTAAAATGAAATAAAAAGTAAACGTTAGGTATGATTTTGAAAATATTAAAAGTTTAGGTACTAAAATGGAACAAAAGTGATACTTTAGATACTAAACGTGTAGTTTACCCATAAATTAAATCACTCAAATTAATTATTATTTTTTAAAATAAAAAAATCATTAATAAATTATAGTTCTATTAAAAGTAAAATTAAATTTTAATTAATGGTTAATTTTAAATAAATCTCTATACTTTTAAATATTTACATAATAAAGATAAATTTGCTTGTGGTGTGTTTCGGTACGTTGCTTTAGTGGTATCGAAATAAAAATTGCATAGGGAAAAAGATATGGCTTGATAAAATAGACAATATTTCATGAGATTAACTTTTAATAAAACAAAGGGCACAAATGTATTTCAACCTCAAGTAAATTATTAATGTTAATGCGTTTGATTCTAAAACACACGTGAAATAAGTAAGCATTATTGAAAGGGTCAAATTACAATATTAAGCATTATTGAAAGGGTCAAATTACAATATATCCAAGCCTTACCTCCTTTATTTCCTATGAAACTAAACTTCACAACTTATCTCCAATATTTCTCTGTTAATCAAACAGATAAAAATCGGATTATTTTCAAGCCTTGAATGAGAGCAGGTGGGGATGACAATAACAGAGCACAAGCAACAGCACAATTGCATCTCTTGTCAAACTAAACAACTAACAGAGGCTCTAAACCAAACTTGAGAGAATCAGGATTATTATTTTACCAATTCCACCGGCAGGCGTTCACCTTTGAGCTGGATCCACTGTTCGAACATTCGCACCAACCATTCCTTCAATGCGATCCTTTGTTATCTCCACAAAATGGCCCACTATTTCGTGGAACTGCTTTAGTCCCGACAGTGGGAGAATGATGGAAGACCGGTCAGAACCTGCAACCTGCAATGTTGAACCATCCTGCCTATATTATCAACCTATACAGTCCATGCCTGCACTTTCATTATATATATATATGTGTGTGTGTGTGTGTGTTTAATATGAAAGAAAAAGAAAGAAAGTTCAATGGAGACTACTTCAGATATCCTCAAGAAATGTCCTCTGTTGTTGCTCCCAAGATCAAAGAAAAACCTCTTCTGATCAGCTCTGATCACCTTTGAAACCCCCATGTTACCGATTTCATCTTGTGCTGGCAAGTCGACCGATCTATCTACATTCAAATCAGAATTTGAGGTAGGCTGGTTGTGTCCAGATATGAAGCCAGCCCCGACATCATCTGAAAGCCCGGCAAGGCCTTCTGAAGGTTCGTCTGATCAGCTCTGATCACCTTTGAAACCCCCATGTTACCGATTTCATCTTGTGCTGGCAAGTCGACCGATCTATCTACATTCAAATCAGAATTTGAGGTAGGCTGGTTGTGTCCAGATATGAAGCCAGCCCCGACATCATCTGAAAGCCCGGCAAGGCCTTCTGAAGGTTCGGAACTTTGCTGTTTCAGAAAATCCATAAAAACACAAAAAACAACCAAATTGAAAGATTAAATGGCACTAAATATGGAATTGATGTAATAACAGTAGAACTCTAGAAAGGGAGGAGCATAGGAATGTAACATAAAGATACCTGATTCGGCAATATGAAAAGTCTGGATGCCTCATTGATATCTGCCAATATGTTCCTGAAGGCTGCCCACCCTTCATCCCTGGTACTTCCAGCTGGCACAATAATTGTACTGCGGTTTCTGCTGACAGATGCTTCAGACACCTTCATAGATGATTTCATTAAAGCAATGCTTTTTTTTTAAAAAAAAAGATGAACTCAAACTTTTGACTTTTCCTATCTTCCAAACAATTCAAAGTTAATGCAAAGAATAAAAAACAAGATACATTATTACAAGCAAAAAAGGAAATCGAAGGCACTACAAGGTCACAAATAGCAGTAACGCATCATTTTCATAAATCATAGCTCTAAATAGTCAAATCGTTTTCATTATATTTGTGCTCACAAGCATGCATGCATGCCAGTGTTTGTATCTGTATGTGTTTAAATGCATGTCTATTTCTAGCATTAGTCAAAAGAAAAAAAATACAATAACCACCAGCTTTTACAAAATTTTCTCAAGATTTTATCAGAACGATCTGATTCCTCTTAGTTAAATTTCTTCTCTTTCAAGATATTCGCTAGTTATTTATTTATTTTTCCACCAAGAATGTTCAAATTCTGAAATGAGAAACCGCCTGTTTTTCTCTGTCCTTTAAGAATCTATGTTTCATACATATCCAACATATATCAAGGTGCAGATCAACCCTATTAACATAAAAAAAAGAACATACAAAAATAATTAACATTCTTTGTATCAGATACATCCAGATTTGATGCTCACACATGGCTCTTAGACTCGCACTAAAACAGGCAGAAACAGCTTTACGAAATCAACACAAAGGCTGCTCGTAGAAGAAAACATATAAAAATTGCCTTCTATACTTCTATAATATCCATGATGTGGGAAAATATATTATTTTTAAAAGGTTAGAAGGGTAAAAAGTAATCTGAGTTGGATAAGGCTCAACTTGTTAATGACGACTACGGGAAGTCCACACCGTGGCAAGCTGCACGAAAATCAATTTGAAGAGACTGACAGAAATTTAAAGTTGTCCTTTGATATGAAATTAGACAAATCTGAAGACAGTTCTGCTTTTGAGGTATCTTGCACATAGTAAGAAAATAATGTATCAATGTTTTTCTACCCTAAATAAGTTGTTTATAAGAGGTATTTACTAATGCTCTTAGGTCAAGAAGGCTAAAGATAAATTGACCCCCAATGACCAACTCAGTTCAGCTAAAAGTCTACGTGAACAATTCACATATAGTACAAAGGTCAACAACAACAAACCCAATGTGCCTCAAAACAAACTATCCCAGATCCGAAACCAATTACCATCTACTGCAAATGAGGTAGAAGTTGGCCAGAAACAAAGGCCTTCAGAACCCAAATGGAATTGACTCAAAGGCAACAACCAGAACTTTACCAACTCAAAAACCTGGAAAGAACTGGAATCAAAAACCCAAAACTGCTTAAAAA